TCAAATATAAATATGTATGTATGTATATATATATATATATATTTCGCATTTCGATATATATACATATATATATGATAAAATACACTTTGGTACTTTCTCATCGCTAGGCGGGTGCCGATGGTGATTGTATAAGAAGCATAGCCTATTGCTGCGGGTAATATGTAATGTATAATGCGGCGGAAAGTAGAAGCGAATGTTTGTAATAAACCAACGAGCCAATCAGCGTACAGCTCCTGCGTCCAGCCTCCTCGTGATCGCTCTTCCTGTTCCCCGAGACATCGATCGAACGACACCACTGCTGACTCTCCATTTGTCACCTCTGTTCGTGTGTTTAACTTCGTTTAATCTACTCTACATCCTACCTGACCGTTCTTCCATCAGAAAACCAGTTTTTCTCACAATTGGAAACTGGCCGGTTCACGGTTACTCTTTCCTAATTGACCCTGTCTCTGAATCACAGACGGAACGTCTATTACGGAAACGTGACAGTTATATATACATATACACATATATGCTTTACTACGTTTTTGTTTCTTGCTCTTTTTTTTCATCGTTGCTTTTGTTTTTTCGTACTTTTTTTTGGTTTTCTCTTGTTACTTCTACTTCTGGTCTTGTCGGTAAAACAGACCACGACTATCGAGACGGTTATCGACTGGAGACAAGGGCAGACAGAGTCGGCGTGGTTCGCTCGAGTCTCGTGAAAACGGGACCCAAGGTGGTCTCGAGGCGGGTTCGACGACTCGCGAGAGGATCGCGCGAACCCCGAGCGGACGCGAGCTCGCGCATTCGTTAGGGCGGGTTACCTTAAAAATAAGGTCGCTTTTGCTGAAACCGGACTTCTTTTTACTCATATTGTCAGAACTTAGGCGCCCCCTCCGCTCAGTGCGTTTTTTTTGTAGGTTCTGCAATATCTAGAAACAAAAGAAAGCGGGACATAGCAAGACGTAGTAAGAAAAGGGCCAGGTTATCAAGAGATTCGTATAAAGAACAGAGAGAAAGAGAGACAGATAGATAGATAGAGAGAGAGAGATAAAGATAGAGAGAAAAATAGAAAAATAAGAGAGAGAGAAAGAGAGAGATAGATTGAAAAACGGAAGAACGTAAGAAAAGACAGAGAAAGGAAGTTTAAAGAAACGTCGTCGAAATGGTTTTTGGTGGAGAACGAAAGAACTGGTCAATATATATATTTTTTTTCTTTCTCTTTTTTTTTTTTTATCACAGTCGTCACACGTTCTTGTTCTTGCCGTACAGTTTAGTAGCTTTTTAGAAACAGACAGAAAACAGAGACAGAGATTTAATAAGTATACAAGTAGTATTTTGAGTGACAGAGAGAGAGAGGGGAGCAGAAAACAGAAGGAGCAGATCGGTGTAGGCGACAGGAGTTTCAAGTTCCTTAATCCATTTTGCTTTTTCTCGTAAAAACTCTTTCCTCTTTCATTTTCCTTCCTTCCTTTTTTCTTTCTTTCATCTTTCCTCCTCCTTTTCGTCTTTTTTCTCGTTTGTTCCCCCACGTTTCGTTCGTTTCGTCGATTACACTCGGCTTATCCATCTTTCCTTCACGTGTTCCTTTTCGTTCTCTCACGTCGAGCAGAAACTTCCGTGTGTGTATCAGAATGCGCCGCGTGCGAAAAGGAAGAGAACGCTCTCGGAAATAAAACGGGGGACGTCGGCACGGTTAGAAGAGTATCACACGGTGGAACGGTGCCTTTCGTGTTTTTCTTTTTTCCCCCGTAAAAAGACGTGTCTCGAGATCCAATTCTCGACTGCGATTATTTCTCATCCTTGGACAGAAGAAGAGCGCGCCGGGGGAGACACACACACGTGTCGTCGATCGTTTCAGAGATTCACGATCGAGCGACGACAAAAGTCTCTCGTTTTCTCCGTGCTTTTGAACATTCAAAGCCGGGACTACACTGAACGGTTTTGGGTCGTCGTTCGTTGCGTCTTAACCACGCAATCAAATATCTCGTCCATTCGTCGAACGGGATAGGGGGGATGATAATCTCGATCGATCGATCGTACAAAAATATCGATCGAGGGTGGACAGAAAAATAGAGAAGCGCGGGGGGCGTAATCCATCCTCTTCTCGAAACGCTGCTTTCGTGTGTTGGTCGCATATATCGTACATGTACATCGATACCATCGATACACTCGACGAGAAGAAGAAAAAAAAAAAAGAAACAAAAATGATTCGAGATTGTGTTGTATATTATATAGAACGTGGTGTTTTTCGTGTTGTCGATTTCGTTCGTTCGTTTGTCCATAACGATGTATCTTTCTTTTTAAATATACATGTGTTTTTTTTTTTCTGTAACATATATATATATTGTTTTTTTTTCCTTTCCTTAGTTCTTTTGTTTCACGGCGATTGGTAGGACACCGGTCATGTCACACCAATCCACGGAGCGCGAGACGCGAGATTGATGGGGTTCTTATTGGCGCAAAGTGTGGATATATCGAAAAATACGGTGTGGAGAACAAATGTTGCACAGATTGACCGTTAAAAACAGCACATAATCATAATAATAATAACAACAATAATAATAACAAGAGTAATAATAATAATAATAATAATAATAACAATAATAATAAGAACAAGAATAAATATGTAATGATAATAAGAAGAGAGAAGTTGATGAGTTCGTGAGTTAAAGAGAAGTAAGAATCAAGAAGCCATTCGTTAGTATCAAAGCTTTCGTTGCAGCAGTCGCGCCAAGCGTGAAGCCGCAGTTTCTTGTCAAAGCTCGTAATATAAAAAAGGCTCGAGAGATCGATTTACTTATTTGTTTGTTTACTTATTCTTTTCGTTCGTTTCTTTTCTTTCTCGTTTTTTTTTTTTTTTTAATCAGCAGCGACGATCAACAATTCGGGAAAGTTAGTTCAATTATCGAGGGGAGCCCTCGTGATGAAGCAAGGAAACTCTGCGTCGATTTTTTTTTTCTTTTTTTCATTCATGTCGATCGTAGATTCTGCATTATCGACGTGGTACGAAAAATGTATTTTTTTTTTTTTATTTTTTCATTGAAAGTCGAAATGTTCATGGTGAATAATTCTGCGTCGAGGAAAGAAAAAAAAAAAAATAAGAGAAAAATGTGTACGAATTATATTATACTTCTTCGTATGTAATATCTCGTTTGAAAAGGTTAATCGTGGGATAACGTAAAAGGTAGAAGGATAATAAAACTCATCCTAATGTAATTAAAACGTGTTTTGCCCAACAGAACTAGTATGGGGTCTGTTCAAGTTCGTTTTCTCTCGCACAAACTTCTGGATTTTTCTCCCGTCCAGCATCCAGATGGTCATCTACAATCAGATACAACGTCTCATCGGCCAGACATTTGTGCACGGAGAAACGATTCTCTCTCGTAAAAATGAAAATCAATCGGTGTAGGAACTAAAGAAAGAAACAACTTGTTTTTGTTCCATGATCGATTTGAAAACATCGTTCGTAATTGTTCGTATGTGTCTCCTTGTTTGTACACAGTTCACGGCCGTTCTTTTTTTTTTTTCTTACTCTGTTTCTCAAATTCTCGTTTCAAACTTACGATTCGTTCAATCCTTCGAGCTAAACGCGACACAGCGTGTGTTTGTATACCATTAGCTTTCGTGACTGATGATGTTCCGCGTGTAACAACCGCGACGAAACGAAAATCTTACGATCGTGGCCGCGAGAAAGGCGGATGGAAAATCATAGGAAAATAAAGAACCACCGTAAAAGACACCGATGAAATTAATTAAGAAACAGAGAAAAATGTATATCGCCGGATGACCGATTAGGTTGGAAATCTGTCCCCGTTTCTTCCTCCCCTATTAATCTCCGCGGCGGTTCTCCAAACGCGGTTCGAAAGGGTTGCAGAAAATTACAACGGAAAACAATGGTCGGCTGTGTTTTTCCCCTGTTCGGGGGTTGCGCCTGGTCGGAGCGTAAAAATCAAAAGAGGCTCACGCTGATCTCCCATTTATCATTCTTCTCTCGACAGCTACGATTAATCGTTCTCTAAGAACGATTTTCGGCCAGGGTTCCCGCGACGGTGCTTCGAGTGGCTGGAGAACCGGCGTACCGATAATTGAAAAATCGAATTCATGCGTGGAAGGTAAAGTCGAGGAGATTCTCCATCGAATGTGAATCTCGACGAAAAGGACTGTTACGCAGAGAATCGAGAATATTTTTCTGCGACAACTTCAAACACGCCGCACATTCTTCTCGAATTTAAAAATTCTTATTTTTAGCGTATTTTTCTTTCAACGTCGAAACGAAGTTCTTCGAGCAATGTTGTTTCTCCTGGTTTCGCAACAAAAATCATCGAAGTTCCACACGTGCAACAACGACGAGACTCGCACTACACTATCGGGTAGTCCCCGATCGATCAAAAAAATGAACTTCATCTACTACTGCATTCCTCACGAACAGACAAAAGTTTCGCAAAAAACGAATGGAGCAACCACGAACAAAATCAAACGAACAGGCTCCGATACTCGTTGGTGACGATAAACACACGGTACAAGCGAGAACAGCAACATAGGGGGGGTTGGTGTGGTTGGACAAACTGTTTTTTGGGGGGTATTTGGGTGCAACTGGTCGCAACAAACAGACAACAGTATCGAGAGATCGATCGATCTTCGAATGACATGCTACTTTCGTCGAGGAGTCTAATAGAGCTAGGATGAACCGAGTCAACGAAAAAATCTCTACTGGACACTATATGGTGGAGAAAATTGATCGATGACACGCGTCTGTCTTTTCGTTGTCGTCTTCCACTTAGGGAAATGACAACGAGAACAAAATGGTACGATGAAACTGAAAACAAAACACACAATGGGGGGGAACGGAAAGGGGTGCTAAAGAAATTAAGATGAAAAAGTTGAAAAAGGGGGTGCTAAAGGAATTAAAATGAAAAAATCGGAAAAGGGGTGCTGGAGAAATAGAGATGAAGAAATGGAAAAAGTGATGGTAAAAAAATCGAGACGAAGAAATCGAAAAGGAGGGTGATAAAGAAACTGAGATGCTGAAGAGATCTAAAAAGCGGCGCTAAAGAAATCGAGACGAAGAAATGAAAAAGGGGTTGCTAAAGAAATCAAGACGAAGAAACCGAGAAGGGGGATGAGAAAGGTAAATCGAGGACAATGAAAACAACGTGGAGCCTTCAAAGACCGACAAAAAAAGTTTGGGCATCTAAACGACACAGAACAGCAAGCAAAACGCAACTGGGCTAGAGAAAAATTCGTCGGGGTACGAAAAAAGGGGTAGATTGGTTTTTCAGGAGGATGAAAACGAGAGGGTAGAACGTAAAAAGGAAAAACGAGGAAAGAAATGAGGGAGCACACACTGAACACGGGCACATCGCCAAAAATGTCGGGCAAATAGGGTTAATATACACCTAACACTCACAGGCAGAACCTACGGTCAGTCCAACCAACTTTCTCGTCTGTAGAGCAGCCATGTGGATAGCGTGTCGTGTCGAATACCTCAGACAGCATTCCCTCATTGTCCTGGTCCTTTTGTTCCAGCTGCTTCGAAAATTTTCTCTCTTTTCTTTTACTTTTTCTTTTCTCTTCTCCTTTCGTCAGATTTTCACGTGTAACTCGCTCGTTCTCGTAAAAACAAGTCGAAGAAGATTCTTCATTCTTAATCATCACCGCGTCTGCTGCGTTTTCGTCACATGTTCGTTGCCGAATTTATGGTGCACCATGCACATTTCGAAACAGTTACATGCACACGTCCTAGTTCTCAGTTTTATTCTTCTCTCTATATTTTGTACACGGAATCTGTTCTCATTTCAGGTCAACAGCCAGCTAATCGACCGACACGAGTGACACATGTCGATGGCTATGAAAGTGGACCAGGTAAAAGTGTCCATAAAAATTTAATCTACCGCGATTTGCACTTACGCGGAAGTATTGTTGCAGAACA